GCCCGCGATTTATTGTCCGGTGTTAACATATAGTTTTGGTATACTTTACAACTGCTAATCACTTCCAATAGTTTTATACTTTCTATTTGTGTGAACACATTGTGAATGGATAACGGGCTGTGGGTTAGCGTGAAATCAATTAAACTCTTGGGCCAACACTTTAAGATGTCTGTCCTCCCAGTCCTCTCCAAATATAACTTAATCTCATTAATCTCTTTATTTAACTTCTCATTAGTAGTGCTATTATTATCTAATAATTCGGTTATAAACTCATTATTGATGTCATGATTATTATGAGAAACAATGTCAAGACTAGAATTATCGCTACTTTCTGTTTGCGTTAATTCCGGTTCATTTGGCACTGAATTCTGGGTTTCTTTCTTAAGTTTGTTTAATTCAAGCATTTGTTTACGAATTTGTTTTTCATTTTCATTCAATATATTCTCCTAATAAATGCCAATTAATGTATAATTATTAAAATTAATTTATAGATATTTGAATACCTTTTTCATACCAACGGCCAGACATTTATCGAGTCGACACTTTCGGCACAATTTTCTTGTCTTTCGATTTATAATACAATTTCCATTTGTCTTACATTTCAGTGTCTTTTGTATTGAATTTAGATAAGTGTTGTAATCATAGAAATAAAAATCGATATTTGAGTAAAATTAAGACATTTTTATATAATTATTTACTTTATTCTTGAGTGCATTCCTACGAAAGAAAGGTTTGCATGATTTACAGGCCAGGGCTCCGAAATGTCGGCCTAAATATTGTAGTCATATGTTTATTGTAATTTATAATTTCTGTATTAATATATTCATATTTGAATGCTTACCAACAGCCTGGTCCCCGCAAACATCACAAAATCTGGTTGAATTTCTAATTCTCATAACTCACTAATAAATATTAATTATTAAATAAATATTATTTATATTGATTTTATCAAATAAATTTTTGTTTTTTATTTTTACAGTTAAATGTTTATATTGTTAATTACTTGCAAATATATTTTAAGGAAAATATTTTATTTTCTTATTAAAATGTAAATAATTATAAATACATAAAAATGTCGGAATAGGTATATAGCGCACAAGTTAGTAACAAGTGTGTTTTATTTCACATCACAGGTAATTACTACACTCAATTGCATAAAACAAGATTTTATGAGTATATGTATCCCTTTTATGAAATTCACATTAAATTTCATGTATTTTAAAAACATTTTTATTTGTTATTTTCAATATACTGTTATGTATTTCAATATCATATGAACGCATATATCATACACTTGTATAGAGTTGTGTCCACACATAGACACGTGCGCTCAGACAAAGCACTCGTTAGTGATTGCAGTGCTTTGAAGATATATTGAACACAATTTGATACCCGATTGCATCGAGTGGTGGAAGTGTGAGCAGACAACTCGTGGCCACAACTGGTGCCGACAACAAGACATTCAAACCATACATTCATTTCACGAGTGATTGGTTGTGGGCCTCAACAGCGCTATCAGACACTCATCTCTCAAACCCATAGTCCACTCATTACTCGCTTTTGTCGTGTCTTTTGTATATTAATTGTATTGTTAATTGAGTGGAGATTTGTATCAATTATTTTAACGTGTTTTTGGTCTCATTTTTATATCGAAAAGCCATACAATCGGAGCAATGGCTGAAGGAGGCGCTGAAGAGGACATGTGGGCTGATCTCCCGGCCAATACAAACCCACAGATGGTCCCGGCGGGTCTGATGGATGACACCGATGATGACTTCGAGGAATATCATGGAAACGTCAACTTCTACTTCAAGAGTCAGAAAAAGGCTAAAAAGCCAAACGATTTGACGACATTTTTGGACAATAGGACAGTCTGTACTGTACCATCAAATCAAGTGGTGGTGCAAAACTCATTCAATGGTAAATTTAAAATACAGTACAATTCACTTTATACTGTAAATCATTTACCACACGACTCATGAGTGCACACAAACTTATAGTATGGCAATATTACAGTATAATGTGATTTGTACTGTAATGTTGATTACTGTAAGACAATTGTCGACTCATTGGTCCAAACGAGTGATACAATTACTGGTGTTTTAATTAATTTATTTATAATAGGAGTGATAAAGTGTGGAACACAAGAGTTTAAATTGGGTTATTGGCTCAAAATTGGCAGCAATAATATTGGCCTAATATTTGGATTAAGAAAAGGATTGAAAACTTTAATCACAATCAAAGGCCCTAAAGAAGACAGAGACAGTGTTGTGAGGGCTATGAAGAGAAAGGTCCCGGAGCTGGAAGTACTGCAATCAGTGGACGGTGAATCGACTGATCAGGGATACTGTTCTCTATGCTTTCAGTATGTGTTTTGATTGAAGTTTTAGAAAATATTTTGACAAAACTTTACTAATTTATTATATTCTACAGTACGGACCACACAATTAGTTGGTGCCAGAATTGCAAATTCTGCTATAATCCGGGTCATTATGTGGATCAATGCCCAGAATTTGACAAAACTGTGGACAAATCGGACGACGAAACTGGCAGTAAACCAGGTAATCTATGGAGTGAACCTTAAGATCCCTATTATTCTTGAATCCCTGTCCACACCATATGTGATTGATTTGTATGGTGTGTGAGCATTCAATCCATGGTATGTCCGGAAAAGCTTCGGGATGTACTACCAGTTGGTGTCGATTTAGATCTGGGTTTCGTTGACAACTGTATTCACAGTCATTTAGTGAACATACGAACAGCCGTTACTGGAACTGTTGCCCTGATGTTCGACTGATGTCATCACCACTTCTTTGTCTTCATTCTTGTGGACATACTTTTCATTTGTGTTCACATCTTGTGACACAACTGACTGTTTACTGGTTTGTGTTTTGGGACGACTCTTATTGACAGTTGATTTGCTACAAGTGGACAGTCGGGTGAGGACTCCCACCGACTGTTTGTTATGTTTCATGGAGTGAAGCTTAAGGCAATAATTAGTAGTGAATCCCTGTCCACATCGGGTGCATACAAATGGCTTACTATTTTTGTACGAGTGTTGAGTCAGATCCCTTGTGTTTAATCCTATTCTTATGCGAGCATTCAATCCATGGTATGTCGGGAAAGGCTTCGGGATGTACTACCAGTTGGTGTCGAATGAAGTCAGGCTTTCGTTTAGTACTGAATTGACAGCCATTTAGTGAAAACATGAACAGCCCTTCCGTTGAGTGAATGTCTTCTGATTTGATTACCACTTCTAGGTCTGCATTCGACTCTTCATTTGTGTTCACGACCTGAGACGCAACCTTCTGTTCATTGGTTTGTGATATCGGATGACAGATCTGTCTCATGGAGTGATTCTTAAGGGCTATATTACTAGTGAATCCCTGTCCACACCATATAATGTGATTTGTATGGTGTGTGGGCATTGAATCCAGGGTTTGTGGGGAAAGGCTTCGGGATGTAGTACCAATTGATGTCGAGTAGTTTTTTTTTTATTCAAACGTGTTTTTAAAAATATTATAGGACCTGGTTCACGAACACGTAAATTGCATCGTAAACTAAAGCGTTACGGCATTGATCACACAATGGCTTATTATAAACATATTATCATTGCATCAGTTTTACCTGAATGGAAAACCCCTATGACTTTCGCAATGGATATCGAAAAGGGATCTGGAGTACATTTGGGCAGGAATTTCAATTTCGCACTTCAGGTAAATTGCAATCAATTTTTGTGTCTCGTATTGTAAACTTTACCACATGTTTCAAGTAATCGGGATCTGTTTTAACGTTTCAATTGCTTTTATCATCCGATTTATACAATCATTTAAATCCAATTCATTTAATGTGTATATATTTAGGTCGTAGTTGTGGCTCATTATGGCAAAGGATTAGGGATTCAAACAGTGTTTCACACATACATCACAAGACCAACGAAATTGGTGACAACCTGTCAGCCAATTAGTGGTGTTTCGGTGACTGAATGCGAAAATCCTAATCTTTCGATGCCTTTATCGGAAGTAAAACAACACTTGATTGGTTTATTCAGTAAGTTATAATAAATTACAAATCACATTATAATTTATTATATATTAAAATAGCTCTAACTTTAGTCTTTAGTCTTAGGCTTTTCATCACAATTATTGACTTAAGAATTGTTGAAACATTCAAACATTAATTTTATATTATTAGCACACAATCGGCTAATAATGCACTCAAAGGACGGCGATTTCCGGTCATTGATGATTATGGAACCGGAGCTCAATTGTGAAGTCATTGATCTGACCGACAGTTATGGAGTGAAAAAGCTTCGGGATATGGTTTATGCTAACTTTAATACACGAATACAGGTTTCATTGTACCGTAATATTCGACATTATATTACATGTAATACTGGGTCATATCCAGTGAAGGGGTGTAATGATATCTAGTTAGTATTACACCCTATTTTAGAGTAAATTTTCTTGAGATTACCAAATGGATTAACATTAAACTTATATGTTAATTATATAAATTATTAAGAAAAATGTAAAAGTTTACATGTAATACAATGTCAAATATTACGGTAATTGAAAAATATAATATAATTATTTTAATATTTTATTATTTGTTTAATGTTGTTAGGAATACAATGAAAAGGAATCGCATTCTTGTGAAACAGATGCCAGATGTACATTGAAACTATTTAATCATTTGTATCAAGATGAAAACCCCATTATTAAATTCGATGCAATTACTGATAAAGTCCGCAAAGATTTGGGAGATTTGATTAATATTAAATCAAAATACTAAATTATTTTAAATATAATGTGATTTGTATTTAATCTTAAGTTTCGAAAATATGAATAAATACTTGAATAAATTGATAGACAATACGTGTGTTATTGGAAAGACTGTGGGAAAAGGTTTAGTAACACGACTTTATTGCATAGACACAGTCGACGGCTACATACCTGTGCGACCGGGAAGGCTGTCGTAATGATTACACCAATAACCAAATGTTATATCAAATGAATCACTCGATGGACACACCATTCAAGTGTTCGCACAATGGATGCAACGAAACGTTTAAATGCAAAGAATCTCTGAATGAACACCAATTGAGTGGACATCCCATCGACTTATCGGACATACCGTGGATTGTATGCCAACAACCGGGCTGTCCGTTTTGGACCAAATCCTAGGCCGATATGGATAACCACATGACATCTAATTCGGTACAGACATACACCTCACCACCAATTCCCGAGACGATGGGCTCACCACCGGATCAGTTGTTTGTGTGCGAATACAGAGGCTGTACGGTTGCCTATCAAACGCAGTGGGTTTTGGATCAGCACAAGATTTGCATGCATTTCGATCAGCACCGGGATCTCAATGACTGTACCGTAATGTTTGGTTCAAATCAGGCGCAGACATAAGAGCCCGAGGAATGGGACTATACTTCTGTCCTGAATATCGATAATACGACTCATTTGACGAATTCAATCAATCGGTTAATAGTGACCCCTATTTGGATGAACAGCATAGGAAACGCCCGTTCAATGAGGTGACGATTATACCCTGGTATGAGTGCCCGCAAAGGGGCTGTCAGTACAGGTCCAGCGATGAGAGTGCATATGGGTGCGCACAGCACCGACACTATGGCATACCAGTCCCCGTCGGTACAGGGATTCAGGGATGGAATTACAGGTATTTTAAGAGTTAATAGCATTTGAAGACATTTTAACCTAAAATCAAAAAAGATTTTTTATATTTCAGACATTGATTCCAGTGTCAAGACAATGGCGGGAAGTGTCGATGAGAATGACGGCAACTATAAGAGCGATTGTCAATTGTATGAACCCATGGACTCGAACCCCACGAGCGTTGTCTCAAACGTGGATCAAGTCTTGGGATGCGATGTCAATGATGGCGATTACGGTGAATGCACACCGAGTTTAGCTCTAAACACACCGGCGCTGACCGACGAGTGCTACGCGACTACCGTTTCCCAATCAGTAGTTGGACTCATCGCAAGTGGACGCCACGCCCTACCTGTGCGACCGGGAGGGCTGTCGGACGGCATATAAAAGCAATTATTTAATATACGAATTGAATCACCCGTTGGAAGGGCTGTTCTAGTCCTCACTCAATGGCATTCAAGAGTCGTATCGGTGTAAGGAATACCTGAGCGATCACCAGAGGGACAGGCATTCAAATGAGGTGCGACCGCAGCGTAAGGAGGTGTCGGGGTTCGTGTGCCAACACCAGGGATATCATTATAAGACTAATAACGAGTAGTCGATGCGACAACACATGAATAAACATATTTATGACAACATTTGGGTCCCAATGAACCAGATTTGGTGATAGACTTGCGGTTAATGTTTGGTTTGAGAGAAGTTTCAAATTATTTTGTTTAATGTTTTGCTTATTTAATGAATGAGCCAGTCAATACTATGTTTAACTATTGGTTATCAATTCAATGACTATGTAATTGATTTGTGATATTAATGTTGATTAGCTATAATTGTGCCATACGTTTGCGATAATGATCTGATTTGCGAACATTTATAACGTATAATATTTACGTGTTTTCTATAAAAACAGTATATTAAATGCTTGTAATACACAATCATTATATCAAATTATACTGTTAAAATCAACCGAATTTTTTATTCACTCCATTCACAACAGTATACAGTGAAGTGTACTGTAATTCTACTCAAACTCTGAACCCGAAATAAAATTATAATATAATTAAACGATTTATTTATTTAATCATACATTTCACTATATATGAATAATAATTTACAATCAGTTTTGAACTAAATACATATGTTTTTCGTGAAAATGTTTTATAGATATTTTAATATTAGAAATAACGTCAAATGTGAATACATAATACAACTCTGTTTTACTGCATTTAAACGATTGAAATTTATTAATGAATTCACTTTTTAAACTTCGTAAAACAAAGGTTTTTTCGTCAAATAATATGAATGAAATTTCATAACAATTGTTTTCAATGAAAAGGAAGTCATTATTTCTATATTCATAGCCATCAATCATAATGTAATTACAATTGTTTAATTTATGTTTGTCAAAAAAATGCCTTATGTTTTCATTAAGAGATTGTTTTTCAATAACGTTTTTTTTCTTAATAATAATATTTGGAATCAAATCGTAAGAAGACATAAAAAATTGATGTCTTTTAGTTAGAGTTAATGTTATATTTTTATAACACTTAATCGAGTGAAACAAACCTTTAAAATAGGAGTGTTTTCTTTCGTAACGATGTGTTGAGTAATATATTAGTGGACCGAATTTTTTTATTAATTCAGGATAATGCAATATATAGTGCATTTTAGGAGTAATGCTTTCATTTGGGAATATAACTTTAAACTTTTTTAGATAAGTTTGGGATAAATCCAACAATGTATCCAGTTTTTGTTGATTGAATTCATTCGAAAATATAATACCAACAATTTTTCTGCACATAATAAATAGATTTCTTGTTTTGCGATCAATTAGTTTTTCGAAATAAAATAATATTAATCGAAATAATTTCAGTGTCTAAATGAGAAAAATATATTATAAAGTGAATTGTAAAGTCAGTAGTCTAAATAAGTCCATTAACATTTAATTTGTGTAATTCTTTAATAAATGGCTCGAAAACCACTTTTAGTCCAGATTTTTTAATTAAATCTCGTCTAATAGCTAATAGCAATTGAATATCCTTTTGTTTGCATTGATATTTGTAATCAATATTTTCAATTGTATAATATGCAAACAACACTTTACATTTTGAATTTGAAAATCCAATTGCATTAGACAGAGTTAAGTCGTCAATAAATAGTTGAATCCGAATAACATTTTTTGGTGTTTTCTTATAATTTGTGCCATCAAACGAATTGCGAATAATGTCATCAACTGATTGTTCTGTAAATTATAAATTTATAGTGAAATGAATTTATAATTGTTTATAAGAGTACAAATCACATTATACTATTATATACCTTTTGTGCCAAAAAATCTTTCAGTAAACGTTACATTTTTGAATAAAAACTTCAGGTTTTCATTTATTGACACATAATGATATGTCTCGTCAAAAATACATATTCGTTTAGGCATCGGTGTGTTTAAAATATTAATCAAATATTCACTTTGTTTTTTATGATCAGTTAATTCAATAAGTCTGTTAATATCATATGTCTTTGCTTTACTCAAAACTTTAAGAACATTAGATATTAATTCATTCCCAGCTTTAATATTAATATTATGCTGATCTCTTGTAGTGATTATAGTCTTAATAAACTCAAGTTCAAACAAATTTGTTTGTTCAACAATCCTTTGGTTGTTGTCTTCATTATCTATAGTTAACCTTTCATCACTTGTTTCTGACAAATCAATAGTTTCATTTAAAGTTTCTGATATTTCAATAGTTGTGGTCATTATGGAAGTACTTTCAGATATATTTCTGAGATATATTGAATGATATCTTCTATAATGTGTTAGAAATGTATTCATTTTAAATGTATTACAAATATAATCACATAAATGGCATTTTACTGGTTCTTTGTTATTCATGTGCACTTCACAATGAAAATTAAATTGATTTAATTTGTCGCAAATATATCCACACAAACACCTGAACGTCATTTTCAAATCACATTAAACTTGACGTTATTGTTGATAAGTTGTGTTTAATGTGATTTGAACACATCCGGAAGCAATGGCGATGGAGACCACCACACGATTTACTCAAATAGAGACTCTATTAATAGATTTAAGTGTAATTAAATATTTGGATGCGTTTAAAGGTTTATATGCTAATACAATTTACCATTAATGTCTTTGTTTGTTAACAATATAAAAGTAATATATAAACCATTATTAATTCAATTAAACATTATTTACTTATTAGCTATAGATCTCAATGACGAGGGACTATATCTCATTGATGAGAATGACTTGAAATTTATTAAGTCAATAACAGATCGGAAAAAGATATGGAACTCAATCATGTTTTTCCGAGAGAGTCAACACAACACACCAGTCATTCAATTTGAGTCAAGCTTTCCCGAAGCAGGCGCTTCCGGAAGTCATTCAACACATCAGTCAACTAAACAATCAATAGATGGCGTTGTCAAACCTATTCGCTTCATTAAGTCAGGGAAAGAATGTGAACAAATCAATGAATGGCCAATGGTTTATGCGTTGCCATCATTTGATCCAATGGTGGAACAAATGCTAAAAAATAAGCAAAGTTTTGATCATAAGATATGGATTCATATATCAAACACATTATATGCTCAAATGAAATCATATTTCAAGTAAATACCATTTTATTCAGTTTAATGTGATTTGATCTGAATAGCACTAATTGATTGTTAACTGTTTAAATTAATACATTTCACTATATATTAATTACAATTAAAAGTATCTGATTGTGTAATATTTAATATTTAGTTACAAACCGGGTGATTTTGAAATCGAAGAAGTTTGTAAAACCTTTTTTGCAAAATACGATTATTTACGCCGACCTGAATTCATGGGATATGTAAAGAATATATAATTATATCTAATTTGAAAATTAATATTTTTTTTATTTGAAGGAATTTCTTATAGTCATGATTAGAAATCGATACAGTGAATATCGAAGGAAAGCAAAAATTCATAATTATATTCCCGGTACAACAGGTGTGAAACTTAAACCTGAAAAGCGAAAACACTCTGAAATTGGGGTAACATCAGATCATTATATAGTGAAATGTAATGGTGATAAGAATCTCAAAGATCTGTTATCAAAATGTTCTGAAATTAAATCAGAAAACATGGTATTTATTAAAACAGAAGTCAATTCACTTTAACTCCTATTTAATAATTTTAAAGTTGAAATATAACAATTTTCTTTATAATTATTTTTAGTTCATTACCCAATATCAAACTATGATTTCAAAGAAATGGGAAGATTATTTCGATGAAAATAATGGTTATTTCAAAACGTTTGTCGCTAACGGATCAAATGTCTTCGATTTATTGCAAATAAACCAATCAATTGCAATGTTTGATAACTATAAATCATTCATTCCGTCAAATAGTATGGCATTAACTTTTTGAATATTTAAATTAAATTTTTATTTCTTACAGATAATGAAAAATCAATTAAAGCCATACTTATTCTTCAAGAAATGCTAAAATGTGAATCTATTATTCTTACACAGAAGTCTAAGGTTAAGAACAATAGAGACACCTATTTTTCAATAACAACTCGAAGTGGTCTGCAAGATATGAATGAAACGTTTGACTCAATTTTTGGTTCAGTTATTGTTTCAGGTGTTCCTCTACTTACTACTAATTTGACAAAAGGTGTATTTTATGTATTTATCAGTTATTATGCCTTTCATGTTGACTATGATATTAAATACAAAGACATTTTTCTTTGTATTGAAAGACTGTTCATGAAATGGTATATCACTAAAGAAATCTCAAGTAAAGTCAACACAATTTTTAGTGATTTAATGATCAATTAATACATTTCATTATATATTAATCATAAATTTACAGTATTTGATTTTTAAATATTTTAATTAATACATTTCACTATATATTAATTTAAATTTAATGTGATTTATTTTTAAATTATTTTAATCAAAATTTTGTGAATTTTGTAAAAGAAAATTGAAATAAAACAAATGATAAAATTCAATTTAACATTTATATATAATAAAAATTACTAAATTGATTTACTATATAACACTGTTTTTTTTCATATAAACACATGTTATATCTTGTATTTATTCGACAGACATTATGTTAATATCTTATACTTCATACATAAAGTTATATGTATATACACAAGAAGAAACTTGGTCACCTAAATACTTATCATTTTTTGTATATAAACAAGTTCTCAGAAAAAAAGAAATTCAGTGTACTACAATAATCTCTTACTATATAATATAAAAACGATATTATGTAATCAATTTTTATTGTTTTATGATAAATTACAGGATATGCGTCTAGTATTTTTAATAATTAATTATTTCTTATGACAATAACAATAAATATAATGTTAAAACTTATGTGTTCATTAATTCAATTTTAAGTTAATAAAAATATCATTGAATACTACAAATACATTATAATATTTAATCTTAAATTTCAAGAATATGTATTATTCAAAGTACCTAGTAGGTATAGTCTACCTTTCTAGTTATATTAATGTTCAATATAGTTAATTGTATTAAACCTTTTGAAGTTCACAAATGTTATGTGTTAATAAAATGCACCGTATACATTTACTGTAACATTACGACAGTTTTTTATATTTCTAGAAATGTACGGTGCATTATTAATATGTACAATATAAACTACAAAGATAAATTTGTTTACAGTTGCTGTAAATTGCTAATCACAGTCCAATATACAGTACACTTTGTGTGGGGTATTGTAAGTACAGTGCATTCAAATTTAGTACACACTAATCAGCAATAATTTGAACAAAGATATATTGATAGCTGCAAGAGCAATTTATTGAGTATGTTATGTGATGTACTTTAAGATAAGATTTTTTGGTACAAATCAAGTCAATTTCATCCATGCACTTCACGCCAATTCTAACCATTAAGGGCTTGTGAACCCATTTGAATAACAAATAGCTTAGAAATTTATTAACAAAATACTTTTATTCAAATATGTTTAATAAGACTTATTATATACAGGTGCAATAAAATAGCATATAATACAATATATTAACAAACGACACTTTACATACATTATAAAATTAATAATAAATAATATTCTGTAAATTATGAGCACAAAAAACCACTCAACCTTTCATATCAAACAACTCCCTAATGAGTGGTCCGTATTCTTGCGGATTCTCTGCGACACTGTTTCTCATCTCTGTTTGACTCAAAAACTCTACATTTCTTATAATATTTGCATTTCTCGCCAATTGTTCCCTCGCTTCACATTCAGACCGATATTTCAATTGCAAATAGCGGCGAAGTAAATGCATATAAATTTCTTGCGCATACCTTCACACAATTGATTGCAAACATTTAATATTACAAAATTTATAACACTTTGAGACATTTACTAACTTTACAGAATCCTTGTGCATAAGGTTTGGACGGTTCGGGTTAAATAGTAACAAAGCTGTCAACTGTAGTATCAAAAGCATGTTTGAAATTTATATAATTATTATATTTGCAATAATTTATTTAAAACATATTTTAATTACCAAATCAATGACAACAGGGTCTGAATCCCAATCGTGGGCTATTTTGTGCATAAAATTGAGATACGGACTATAGATATCTGATTGAAACACTTGTAATGAATCCAACTTTAAGTGACACGAGTTGTTATCCTTATAATTTGAATCAAATAATTAGAGATTTATTATTTTAAAACATTTATTCATAAAACTTACGGATAGAGCAAAGGATTGACTGCGAAAGTCATAAAACAAAACGGACCGGATGTTTATGACATCCAGACAGCCGTACTTCACGAGTGAGATCTGATCGTTGCCACAGAAGTCCTTAAACTCAGACAAACTCTTCACTCCATTCACTAAATGGNCCTTAAACTCAGACAAACTCTTCACTCCATTCACTAAATGGTTGAGAGAATCGGTAAACAAGAGAACCAACGCTTGCTTCACATCTTCGGTGCCAATCATTTCGGTGATTGTCTTATCCAATGGTCGTCTCAGACATCGACTGAAGTCCAATAATTCACTCAATTTATTGGCCTCTAATTCAGTCAATTGGTTGCTGTAATCAGCGATAGGTCTGTCCACTGAATGGTTAGTCACTAATTTGTGAGCAGTTTTATTGTAAAAGTTCTCATAAAACCTCTTCATTTGTGTATCAATATTATGACAACTCGTGTCAAAATCGGTGATCATTTTGAATACCATTTCGCCGCAAATGTTTGCACCAAAACCTCGTCCCTTGTTTTCATCGCACATCTCATTAACTATGGGTTTATTACTTGTTTGTAAACTATTGTCTGATTTATTATGACAACTATTTTCGCTCAGAGTATCATTGGATTCATTTGAATCAACACGTGTCAGGTCATGAGAGCGCCTGTGGTTCAGACGCTCGGTTGGTCTCCTGCGGTCAGAGTTGACGCGTCGGAAGCGTTTGATTCTCTCATCTATTATCCAATCCTATCACCAATTCTTACATTTAATTAAGTTTTTAAGATATAAGTTATACCTTTGATGAATACCTTTCTCATACCCAGAGCATAGCACTTCTCTAAACGACATTTAATACAACCTCTATTCTCGTAAGTGATCTCACATTTGCCATTTGATAGGCACGTGAATATCTACTCAAATTAAGTCATTTCATTAAATACTTAATTTATTCTCATTTAATGCTATTTATTATAAAATATACTTTCGTTTTGATGGCATTTCGTCTGAAGAATGTTTTGCACGAATTGCACGAAAGTGTACCGAAATTATTGCCTAAAAACACATACAATTTATTTATAATTTTATTGCAGTTATTTATAACTAAAATCCCGCGAATATAACTATTAATTTAATTAAAGTTTATACCAAAAAACACCAGAATATTAAAATGTAAACTTATTCTTACCGAAAGCTATATCTTCACAAATGACACAAACCTTAGACATTGTGTTCACTATAATTAGCAAACAAATCACAACTTCTATAACTAACTCAAAGTTAGTGTCATTTAAATACTCACTTCAATCCAACAATATATTTAGCCATAAATAGGGGCACAGGGGGTGAGGGGGAGTACCAATGCTCTGAATCCTAATTGATCATACAGTGGTATATTACGAGTATATTCGTGGTATACTTGTCTACACAACCACTACCTGTGAGTCCCATTAGGAATGAAAGGCTCATTGATTGTAGATATGGTTTATTACGCCAATTCCTGGTATTATATGCAATGTTATCGCATATAATGTGACAATTGATGACATGTGCACTTACATGCACTCGCATTTTATTTGCTTATAAAACAGCACTAAATACACAGAACTTTGCCCACCGATTAGCAAGGTACACTTGTACCACAGGTAAGGTGTAGATGAACCAGCACACATTTTAGACAATTATACCCGTAATCACGAGTACAGTAATTAGGGTAATATAACTACAGTATATAATTACAGTATATCTAAACATCAATACAATTATAAATACATAAAAAATGATATTTATGTCAGTGAATAGCCATTGGACGGCGACATGAAGTACGGGTGCGAGGGGTCAGTGAGAGCACACGTGTGACCGTCCGCACCGACTGTCCCCTCACTCGTGTGCGACCGGAAGGCCTGTCTCGTCCACCACTACATCCACATACATGTCGTCCTCGTGTGACCGGTGGTGCGCCTCCAAGTCGGTGCCCCTCAGCCCACGTGACCCACAAAAAAGGCAACGATATCGGCGTCGACTCGGGTCACGAGTGGCCGATGAGGTCGAGTCCGACCCACTCTTCAGCTTCTTTCGCTCCAAATGGCTATAAAGTGATGCGAATATCAATGCATTGACAGCAATGGTAAGTCATATGACATCAACGCTTGGCATCAATTCACTGCAAATCATATCCTCGCGGATCACGTACTCAGACGTCTTGGGGAGTCGTTGTTGGTGTTGATCCACACGCGAGTCACCACTGGAACCGCTGGACGACTGGTCGCACGCGATGGACAGCCGCTTGAGGTGTCGTGTGATAAGTGACTGTTTGTACAGCGAATGAGTGGTCCGTGTCTTGCCTTTCATTGTCTTACAACTCATCCAAACGTGTGATGGACTCGAGGGTCAACTCATGGCTATGAGTGACAGTCCACTCAATCATACGGTTTCTGGCAATCAATCACTCATTCATTCATTTCATTCATATTTTGAGTCATTGTTTGCCAAATAGTCTCCAAAATGAGACGTTATTTACGAATCCGTTATTTGGTTGTCATTTATGAACGCAAAACAAAACACTAATTCGAGTCAATTGTTGTACGAATCGAACGCTAACTCTAACTGTAATCTACAGTCGACTCGCGCTATAATGGACTCATCGGTGAACACAAACACATATACGAGTGACTCGTCGGACGAGTGGACGCCTGGAGTGTCGACTGACTCGCAGTTGTCGTCAGTATTGTTGCCATTCGTGAGAGCATTGGACGCATCGCTCGAGTCGTGTCTCTCATCACAGCAACGATTG